TGGAAGTTCCTGCCGAAAGATTGCTAACTCGGCAACTAGAAAAGATGGAAGGCTGAAACTTATGGGAAATGTACCCTGTCCAAGTACAACTTAAGTATTTCAAATTCAGCCTTGAGTTACGCGTGGCTCTTGCGTACGGACACTTAAAATTTTGGCTAAATGTCTACCTGAGCAAATAGGTCACTTTTGAAGAACGATCGTTAAGTGGAAAATGCACATATACTTTATGTAAGATTTGTGGTGATTTGCGCTAGTGACCGCAAATGTAAGTGCAAAGCAACAACCATTCATGGAGTTAATGACCTGAGTACTTCAATTCCGGTGCAAAAACGCATGATCGCACGGGCCCGTCCGGTGCGTTCCAGTCTGGGTTCGAGTAAGTCACGAGCCAAGAAAGCTAGGAAGCTGAAATTTTAAGTGGGTGTTTCCTGACAGTTCTGGCCGCCAGTCGAATTTGTTTAGCTAGAAGCATTTGCCAGAAGAACCGGTGCCGGCAGCGACAAAAACTGCGGGGAACTGTGCAAAAAACGCATATTTGCACAGGCAGCCCGTGCATTGGCCAATTATTTGAAATGTACACGACCTACAGATATAAATGCGATGTGCAGTTTCAGTGGTCAAATAGGGGCTCCTGCAGTCGCCAGATATCAATTCATGTTTGCCTCAAATACCTCATTGAAGTCTCACTGTTTGGTTGTTTTGCAGAAAAAATTAGCGTGTACATCGGATGGCCGGCGTTTTTGCAGTAATTGTTTGCAAGTAAGCATTAATCGTTTGCATTCTTGCAAGGGATTGTCCTGCGCAACGTTCAGCTTATGAAGATCGTTGTTGTTTCCTTTTTTTTTAGTAACAACCTCGTTGAGCTACACTGCGTATGGGATATCACTGCGTCCACAAAAGGAAATCAAATCTTATAGGTGATGCGGGTAATCCCTCTGAACAAAACAAGCGAATGTCGGTGCTGCGAGGAGATAGAGAACCTCTTAAGCAGTGTTTAAAGAGTTGGTGCACACGGTGAGATAACAACTGGAAATACAGAGCACAGTATTGAAAAGCTTGGCAAAAATGTGGTCAACGTATTGAACATCCCAGTAACACGGGGCGGTCTTGATATTCTTTAATAACACCTGAACAATTTGTACCGTGCGCAAGGCCCTCATTCCTCCTGTTTCCCTTGCTTGCTATTGTTTATAATTTTGGCTCGTCATATATTTTTGTTTAGCTATTAATTATTCAATTTTTCTTCAATGATGACGTACCTCGTAGCTATGATTATTAGTTGTTCTCCCTGCTTTATGCTTAAATCGCTGCTTTCCTGCGCTTCAAAATCAGCCACAGCAACGAACCATTTGTCTTCTACTGCCACTCCTTTTCGTACATCAGATTTCCTGCACTGACAGCTTTTTGATGAATTAGAATATTTAATGGATTAAATAACACTTGTAAAATTGTACCTCATGTCTGTATTCTCTACCGCTTGTTGTCCTTCATCCGCTGGATGTTCTGAGCCGTTATTTGCATTTGAGTGTGATTCCGGCACCGAATGCTCAGCCATTTCTCGCTCCTGTACAGTGTAATGCTCAGACGATTCCACTTCATCTTCGTTCCTTTAAAACGGTTGCCGAGATTTCTTTGTTCCAGCTTTTTTTTTTGTACACGATCTTTCAAAATAGTGAAAGAGTACCTATCTGTTTCTGGTGCCACTGCACTGACTGGTTTGTTGGCTTCTCTTGCTTGATTCGACAAAATTACCAGTTCTTCCTAAGAGCGATTTTTGTGATCAGTAGATTGATTTGGTTTGTAAGGGTATAATGGTACTTCTGAGAAATGCGATAAAGCTAATTAGAAGGAAGAGCGTTTCCAACAGATTTAATAGGAAGGGTAGGCTGATGAAAAACTTTTCTTTTTAATTAATATTTAATATTTTAATATTTCAATAACAAAATGAAGAAATCAAAAAACCGCAGTTTTTAATAACAGTCGAAATTTCTGTATACATATTGCATGTATCGAATAGACGGTAGTTATTAACTTGAGCCACACAGTTCAGGATCGTTGGGTCGGGGCAACTACTTCAGCGTGTAGGAGCATCTCAGTAACATCACTAACGTGGATTGTCTGTACTGATGGCCCAAATGACCTTCGTATTCTCGGCATCGAGATTTTAAAAGACGTCTCAGGATAAGCACTAGCGCCCCCATGCCTTTTTTCGCAATATTCAGAAACTGTCATTTTTTGAAAAAAAAAAATCGTTATTGCTACCACAGAAATAATAAATCTTCGACATAAACTGCGTGCAAAGGATTCGTTTTAAATGCCCTCTTTGAAACGCGTTTCGGATCGAAACTTATGATCATGAAAATTCTACAGTTTCTCATTGCAGCAGTTTGAAAAAAAATTCAGTTAAAACCGTTTACTTTTATGTCAATCTGAATGCAGCAATTTCTAGTCGGTGCCTGTGTCTAGTTTAATTCTTGCAGACATCTCGCACGAGTTATGATAGAGTAGAATTTCTAACAGATGAGCTACAGCACTGTGCAAGCAGTGCTAAATTTTTTTTTGATACATACAAGATTTCGCTCTGAAAAAAGTGAAGCGGAAGGTGGGAATTTTTTGCTAAGATTATCAGCAAATCGGTT